TTTCTTACAAAATATAATGTTTTATCTATTTTTTCAACTTTACATCATTCAAATTTTCTATTCTTTCATTCTTCCATTGTACCGAACAAAGCATAATTGAATTCCTGAATTTTGTCATTAGTTATTCATCCAACTAGATAAAATAATTGAATTGTAGGGATGTATTATTTGGGATGCCTCCCTCCCCTATTATTTAACTTTCATACATTGATTTATAAAATTAAAAATAAAGTTTCATCCATTCAGATTTTTTGAGGTTGAACAAGTAACCATTCTACTGCTCTTTTCAATTACATGCCACTCCTTTTTAAATTTTCATCTTCTCATCATGTTTTCTCTCTAATGCTCCGTTGGGTAGAAATGATGGAAAATAGGAAAGGTAGAAAGCAGGAGGGATACACTTTCTATTCTTAAAGGAAGGAAAGTAGGAATTATACACTTTGTTTCTTTTGTGTTTGGTAGGATGGATGAAAAATAAAAATGATTAATTTTTTTTTTTGGGTGCTTGGTAAAATAGAAAAAATATATATATTTTTATTTTTTAAATATGAATACATATTTTATGATTCTATTTATATATAACATTAATGTATACATAATATATGTATATATCAAATGATATATAGACAAATCAGATACATTTCAACAACTAGTCATTCTCAACTTAACAATGTCTTGTCCCAATATTTTTGGGGTCGGTTACAAGAATTTTTGTTTGCCATTTTGCTTTCCAAAAGTTAAAAAAAAAACTGAGAAAGAAAGAAATAGTTGGTGAAGTAGCATTACATTGTATTGTTTCCATGTTTGTTTAGTCACTAAAGTCCTAAAGCCGTTCAGATGATTTTATTTGTTATGGACAAGTGTGTTTACCTAACCAAGTCAAAGCCAAACCAGACAGTTGTACCAAAACGAGCGCATAAGTTGAAATTCCCATTTGATACTTTTTTACAAAAATTTGTTTAAATAACTGTTGCAATTCAATGGCTTGTAATTCTCCCACCTAATAGGTTCTTCAATGTGTTTAGCAAACGTCAACCAAGTGTGGCTAGTCGAGTTGTGCCCTTTTGCATTGTTCAAAATTGTAAATATTGATACTAGTGTTATACCGATGTATAGTGACGGAGCTACGTTAGGGCGCCCTTGTTCAACTTATTGCATTTGCTCCCCTAATTTTTTGAAGACTTGTGTAGTGATTCTAGTATTAGCAAGTGAATGTATTTAGTCATATTTTGCACCCTCTAAAACAAAATCCTGCATCTGCCCCGTGCATGCGCATGAATACACACTGACATGCACCACCACTGCACCTCATCGCGGCCGCAACGCACACATCGGCGTACAACTTCCATTGCCAGTTGCCACTGCTGTCACCTGTAAAGCAAAGAAACTAAGCTCTACATGCAAAGGGCAATAGTTGCCTCTCTCTTTCTCTGTCTCTCTCTCTCTCTCTCGTAGCACGCAACATTGCATTCAGATTACAATTTTCATATCAATTTTGGTTTGCATTTGAATTCCATTTATGTGCACTTGTCTATTCTATAATTATTCTGTCATGAGGTATTAGACTTGACCCTCTATTATGAATTGAACTTTTGCCATAACACGTCTACTGGGAGCAAAAAATTACTATCCGCTATGGCGTCTCTGGGCAGTCTACTTTATAATTTATTGTCTTCTATATATGAGTTTTCTTAAATATAAATTTTCAGTTCCTTTCATACAATGTATTCTGAATTAAAAAATTTCCTGACAGATACAAAATTACCTTTCAAGGATGGGTCGATTTTGGTGATGCTGGCCCAGAGGAGTGAGGGTGGGTAAAAGTTTGCATAAGAGTGAAGGTCCTCTCCTCTAACCTAAACGGCTAAACCTACTCTAAGAATCCAGGAACTATTCCGTAATTGACATTTATATCATTTTACTCTGATAATTGATGGTACTCGGAAATGTTTAGCCCATGTTCAAAACGATGGTTTGATGGTCTAGAGAGGGGATAGCGTGAATATATGAATTGACAGTGGATTAAGCTGTAAGAATGAATTAGAAACATTATATAAGTGGTTCACCTTAGCCGAGAGACTAAAGTTACGTCTACTGTAATGATGTCATTTGCTCCTTGGGTGTGTATAATTCTTGAAGAAGAAGATTACAATAGATTGTTATGCTTAAAGCCTGTTCATACAATGTTTTATGAATACCAGTATATCAATGAAGAAGTTGACGGTCCTCTTTTGTGGTGTGATAGTATTCTATTTATACGGGTAATCTTTCCAAGGTTTCTTGTGGCTTCCTCTTCCTTTTTGTTGATTCTGTGGTCCCCTCTTCCTTTGTCCTTTTGGTGACATCTGCCATGCGATGCCACTGTATTCACAATTCTTGAGTGGTTATGTGCACAAACATTCCCTTTACTAGAGAGTACACATTCGTTAGAGGCTCCAGAAGTTGTCCCCTGGTTCCTTGGACACGTGGCGTGATGTGGGACATTCGGGGTTTGGTGAGTACCAAGCTCCTTGATCTCGAGCTCTTTAACGCTGAGCTTGTTATGACCGAGCAAGGCTATGTTGAGCTGGACTCTTTGCTAGACTCCCTCCTTTGGATTATGAAACATTTCTTATTACGGAGCAGATGGGTTTTTAAGGGGTCTTGGGCCGTTGTGCACCTGTTTTGGCCTATGAGATGATTTGGGTTTAGGATGGGCAGCCCATTCCAAAATCCTAGCGTTATTAGTTTCCCCCCAGCACTAGGTCACGAGGATGACGCCAAGCTCTGGCGAGGATGACGCCTAGGGTTAAATAAGTCTTTTCTAGGGTTATGTTTGCTTCTACGGATGACAATTTTACCTGATTATCAGCGCTGCCTTAGGAAGTGTTTGGTTAATCGGTGCCAGCTTTGATGTGATAGACGTGCTTGAGTGGGGGCACGCTCGCCTGTAGGACGATCTTCATAAAACGGTTTTCTGCATGTTATTCTCCATGTCCCATCGTGATAATAAATGCTGTGTATAAAAGGGGAAAAAAACTCTTGGTCTTTGCTGAGGTTGTCTTTACTTAAGACTTGGTGTCTTACTTCCTTGTTCTTAATGGATTGTGTCTTGCATCTTCCATCTTTACACTCTAATCTTTAATTTGGGCTGATAATGAGGAGGGTGGTTTTTGATTTCAAATATGAGGATGAAGGCAATGAGGAAGTCCCGTTGTCTTCTACTAGTGCCCATTTCAAGGAAGGGGCATCCTTTCTCATTGATGGGGAGGGGGTACCCACTACTGGTGATATTTTAGTTGGGGATGACCAATTTTCTATGTCTTTCACAGAGAATTTTGAGTTCCTTTCTAGGGAGCCGGCTCAGGAGGCCTCAGGGTCGGGTCTCGAGGTTTCGACCTTAGTTCCTTCTGAGGAGGCTCCTTTAGTGTTGCCTCCCATTCCCTCTGATCGTCTTAGGAGGAAAAGGTCTAAGGGTGCTTCTACTTCTGCCCCTAAGAAGATAAAGGCTCGTTGGGATCTCTTTGACCTTACGTGTTATGTTGAGTCGAGTTCGAGTCATCTTGACGAGGAAGATTTGGCAGATCTGAGGGAAGAATATTCCTTTCCTGAGTTTGTTTTACTCCATTCCCCCGAGGAGGATGAGAGGTGAAACTCTAACATTCTTGGGATGACCTGCTTCTTTGAGTTGACTTTCCATGCTGGATTCCGATTTCCTGTTCATCCCTTCATTCCAGACATTCTAGCATTTTACAATGTTTATCTAGTTCGGCTATCTTCAAACAACTGGGTTTATTGGTCAACTTTCTTATCCACTGGTTTGAGAGCGGAAACAACTCTCCTCTTATGATTCATGAGTTTGCCTCCATTTTTTAGCTTAAGTCTTCTCCTTCATTGGGTTTCCTCTATTTTGCTAAGAGGATGAAGGCGAAGGTTTGATTTTTGGGTTCCCGTCGTCCAACAGGGGATGAAAATCAAGGTACTTCTTTGTAGAAGGTGACTTCTGGAAAGTATTAGAAGCACCCGACGACGTCCCTCACTTCCCTCCAGTTTGGGGAGTCCCAAGGAATATTTGTAAGGATAATAACTAGTCATGCTTTTCGTTACATCAGCTAGCTAGAACTCTAACCTTTGATCGTTATTCTAACGCTTGGTTTTGTCTGCAGAGTTTTGTCCGACTCTTGATGCTGAGGAAACTGCTAAGGTAGACAAGGTAGACGCTTCAAGCTTGAAGTCTTTTATGGACCTTATAACTGAGGAGAATCTTGCCAACCACAAGCTTGGGCCCCCTGTTGATGCACCTCCTGCTCATATTTCTGGTCATTTGCCTTCTGACCTGCCTAAACCGATGGATCCTAACCTTATTATGACAACTTTTTTTGATGCCAAGAAGACAAGAAAGAAGAGGATGAGGTTGGTGAAGGGCTCCGATCTACCCCCAAAGGAAGGGCAGGTGTTCACTCCTTGGAGCAAAAACGCCAGGATCTGGCCTCCCTTGAGGTTGTTGTCTCCTCCTCTATGCTCCTCTAGCTCGCAAAGAAGGCGATCTCTTTAGAGTGGCCCCCTCCATCAGTAGCGTCTCCTACTTTTCCCCATTCGTCTCTGCCAAAGGAAATAAGGAGGAAAAACATCCTTCCTCAGCCAACTATTCAGGGAAGTGGGTTCCTTTGTGACCTTGAGGCCGCCGTGAATGCTTTGGCTGAGCGGGTCCTTACATCGGATCCCAATTTGGCCATGCTGGTTCCCTTTGAGAGGAAGGCTAAGCATGCCATCTAGGGCTTGGTTGAGGTACCTTATGATTTGTTATTTTGTATGAGTGCTCATTTTGATGTATTTTCATCTCTTGCTTGTATTGACTCCAGTCTCTTTTTGCAGTCACTGGCTTGTGTGTAAATCATGGAATTTCACCATGTTCAACTTGAGACTCAACTGACCGCCAAGGAGCAAGAGCTTGTCAAGTTGAGGATGCGTATTTTGATCATTACCTGGATTTCTTCGTGCCTTAGATTGGGCCGAAGAAAATGGCAAAATTGACCACTGGGGCTACTACCGAGGTAGCTAGTGCTGGCGAGGGAACCTTGACTGGACTTGCAAAGAGGGGCAATGAGGTGGACGCTGAGGCAGCCTGTGCCAAGGCAGTTGGAATTGAGGTGTCTAGGTTCGAGGAGTTCGGTGTAGGCAGAGAGCCCGTCATTGGGGTGCTTGAGAGTAGAGATCCTGTTGTCTGATTTTTTTTTTTCTGATTGTTGATAGCTTTCCTCTGTTATAATCTGAAGTTTTGTATTTGTCACTCCTTTTTAATGTACTTTCTCATTTTTTAACGAAGCTCCAATGTTCTTTCCTACCTGCCCACTCTTTCTTTCATGCACATGTTGTTTCTTTTTTCTTGTTTGTTTTAAAAGTAATGGTCAGCAAAGCCTATCCCATGCTACGTTGCGACCTGGGTGCCTTGAGCTGAACTATTCCTTTACTGAGGTGGTTTCATTTGTTTGGGACTATCTTGCTTGCTAAGGCTATTTTGGAGCTTTCATATTCCTTTTCGTGTACTACAAACTTGATAGTTTAGTTCAGTTGGGAATGTGCGCTGTCAGTGATGATAGTGGTTCTAGGAAAGCAGCACCCACTTCCTACATGACGACCATGTGTCAATGGCATTAAATGCGATTTACACACATTAAAGGCACCCTGCAGATGAGATGTTTGATAACTAGCAGTCCTTATAAATAGCTCCCTCACTGAGTGGTTTTTCTACCTTGAAGTTTCTTTCTTTTTTTTGCTCCTGAGTTTTGCTTCAAAGATCCTTTCCTACAACTTATTACTTCCTCTTTTTTCATGGCACGTACACCCACTACTTACCATGACACCCAGCAAATGGTCTACTCCGACATCGTAAATAGTGAAATCAGTAATGAATAGGTTCAGGCAATTGCTAACCGCTGTGCTTTTCCTAGCGGGGTAGTCATTCATGCTGTAGAACGCAAGTTGTTTGTGCCTCTCATTGCCATAAGCTATGCCTCTTGTAGGGCTCGTCGAGAGCTTCGATTTGATATATTATGGCCCTCAAAACTCCAAACGGATCAAAAGTTATGATCAAAACAGTGTCAACCCTTCTTAGACTTGAATGTTTGACCGTGCTGATCTGCTAACTCAAGGTATTTCAGTGCCATCAACGTGCCATTTGATAACTCAGCATCAACTAACTCAGATCCTCCTACATCAGTCGCCCCGGGTTGGAAAGAACTCGTCCTTGAGTTCACAGTAGCACCATCGGAATCCATAAAACAATAGCATCATCTGAATTTAATTATTTTGCTTTGAGATAAGGTGGAGAGATCCTAGTTATTGACCTCCCTCTTGAGCCTAAAGGGTGGAGGAGGAGGTACTTTTTCATATCAGGGATAGTTTGGGAGTTTGAGCCCTAGACGATGTCACCGGTCAAAATTCCCAATGTTTGGGGGATGCGTGGTCACCTTGGTGAGTTTTCCTATCTTCATGAGTTTTCTCTTTATTAATCTGGTCCTACCGTGCTTGTCAACGTCTAACTTTATTCTTTTGTATTGTAGGTGAGTACCCGATCTTAACTGGCGAGACCCAAGCTCGAGTTAACCACGTTTGAGCTAGGTTACCCTTTTATTATACTAAGCTAATGCATCTCGAACTTGCTTCAATCCTGAGCAATTGTGAGTATTTGCTGTTCTTTCCTTACCGTTCTATTTTTGTTGTGTTCAACCGAGCTTACTTCCTAACTGCCTTTCTTTTTCAGTCCCTGCATACTTGATCAGCCAAAGAAATGTGATCATGGAACAAGTGGGCCAGAGGAGGTGAGCTCAGGGCCCAGGATCTTTGGCAAAGAGGGCTAGACTAGCGAAGGACAGCTCAATCCTAGCCTTGAGCTCATGTGCCGAGCCCAAGGTTCCAAATATTGTTATCGAGGCATTAACTGCCTTACCAACACTGAGCTTCCCTCTTATGCCTAAGGTTGTACATGGGGCTGTTAAAGTTCCAATTTTTGAACCTGTGCCCATCGTTGAAGAGGTGCCAGTGTCTGAGCCAATATCTAGCGCTAGAGAAACAATGGTGGGCACAGTTGCATGCGATCTAGTAGGAGGACCATTTCAGCGTGGTTCTTCCCCAACTGGAATAACAGGCCCTAGCTCGGGTCATGCTACTCTGGGTCCAATTGTCGACCTTAAGGGGAACCTATTGGACAACGTGACTTTAAGCAGTCGTACACTTATAGAATCGATTCCCTAGGTGGACCTTCGTCATTCTGTCAGTTGACCTTTCCGAGCTAGGAGCTGTGATACCCTCCACACACTTCTCGAGGTAGGGTTCATCTTTTTCTTTGATTTTCCCTTGTTTCAACTTTGTAATGTTTTAATTTCCTTCTTTGGCCTTAAGCGGCGATGCACGTCTGTGCACTTGGAGGGGAGGTCCATCATCTAAGGAAGGAAGCTCATCAGAGGAGTGCTGAACTCCAAGAGGCACGACAACTGAATGTCGAGCTCCTGCACTGGGGTCTAGCTGTAGAATTCAAGGTAGTAGCTACTTTCGATCACAGAGCTTGAGTTTTTTGGCTGTTGATCACTACTGCCACTTTCGAGATCTTTCTATGTGAACAACTGAGCTCCCATTCGGAAGAATTAGCCTCTTTGCAGCAAGATTTCGATGTCCAAGCTGACAAGCTAATCTGTTTTGAAATCGACAAGGTAGTTTTGATGACGTAGCTAAGAGAATCTCATGCTATGATTGTCGACCTGAATAACTCCCAAGCTGCTGAGTGCCGGTTGGTTGAAGAGAAACTCAAGGAAATTGAGAAGGCCAAGTTGGAGGCCGCCAAGGCATTTGTAGACAGGTTCTTTAACTTCGCAGACTAGGCGATCGAGAAGTTTTTTGACCTTGACCTCGATCAATTTGAGTGTAGGTTTGACCTTCCTCCTGGCGACCCTTTTGATGCTACCTCACCTGCCAGGCAACCATGATGGTATTCTTTTCTTTTTTTTTTTTTTTTAAAGTGTAACTCTCCTTATTGATTGAAATGAAGAACACTTAACCTGCTTCTTATATTGATGATTGCTTGCTGTGTTCTCCCCTTGCCCTCTACTCTGGCAAATACCTTGGCTACCTCGGTTATCGAGGCTCCTTGAAGATCGTGGTCTTCCACCAAAACTGCCACTACCTTCCTCGAAGTGTGTTACTAGCTATCTTGAAGTGCCTTCCTCATCTTTCGCAGTTGTTTGATTTTTTTGCCACCTCTTCACCTATCATAGAGTCATTGAAGACCCCTTTATCACTTCGATTGCTAAAGAGGTTTCTAAGTGTCGCGAAGAATGGTGCGACGCAAGGTTGTTGCGACTCCAAGTTCCTTAATGACTATGCCTTGTCTTCCTACAAAATGAGCCCCTAGCCATCTACGCTTTCTCGAAGACTGCGCCTGCTCAGTTGAACTATGCAATTGACATAGAGTCTAACTATCAGATAGGCGCAACTCAGGATTTCTACGCTCCTTTGATTTCATAACTATCTCGAGGACAGCATCTACTTTGCTGTCAGGAACCTTGAAGACTGTAGCTCCTTGCATACCATTATCCCTTAGTGATCATGCTCTGCGTTGGCATCTATGCCTATCGCAACACCCTTGACTTCTGCGAGTTTCAATTTTTGCCATTTATCTTTTGTCGTAATGACACATCGAAGACCATAGCTCCTCGACTGTCGTGAACCTTGGATACTTGGGCTTTGATTGTCTTAATTTATTGCCTCAAACATTGTAGCACCTTGATTTCCACTACTAATTGGTTGTTATGACTATTGATGTGAATGAAACCTTGACTAGTGTTACTGGTGGATTGGGGTGACTCCTCGACTGGCGTGTTTCCTAGGCTACCACACTCACCATAGGTGCCTTGACCTTCTTGACTGTCGTGCCTAACTCAACCTACTCACCCCACTCCCCCATTGCCTATAAATAAAGGCCTCCACTCACCCATTCCCCCACTTCTCAATTTACTTTCTCAAAATTTTCTCACCCCCTCTTCCTCTCTCAATTTCCTTGCCCTATTTTGTTTTGCAAGGTCTTTGTCATTGTTCTTCTCTAATAACCTACTGTCCTTTTCACCCCCTTTTTTCCTCAACCTTCTTCCTCCTCTTTACTTACCCAGTGGCCAATTCTCGTCTTATTCGCGCAGGCTCAATGCCTCTGCCAGAGGAGTGGTTCCGTGCCTTTTTTCTTGGCACTAATATGGATTAGTTTTCTGAATGGCTCCAGATCTACATTCCTGAGTTGGACGGTCCAGCCCACCCGTTAGTTTTGGAGCCCTCTATGCCCCTTAAAGAAGCTACTTATCTAGATCTTGAGTTTTTGTTTCGCTTGCCCCTATAGAAGGGTGACTACCCCTACTTTTTTTATTGATTTTATCTTCTCTTTCTACAGACTGTTTCGACTATTCTGATCATTTTCTTGTGAATGAGGTTTTTTACAACATCTTGGAGTCCACCCACATCCTTCCTACCATAGAGATGTGGTGTCTAATTTAAGTCAATCGGTGAAAATTGAGCCTAATTCCTTTGATTTCTTGTTGGAGCCGTGAGACTTGCATATTTGTTATTGGCTGGGGTAAGTTTACCCCTACCTTGGAGGACTTCTCAATGCTACTTCATTTGCCAATCATTGGCAACTATAGTCATAGTGTTGCGGCTCCCCATTCCTGCAGAGATAGTCGTAGTTGCCTATTGTCGGATTATTCCACTACTACCGTGAAGCCTGGTGGGAACAAGTGCACTTGTATAGACTAGGCGAGGCATTTTTTTTAGACACATTAAGCATTCAAAGGGCAAGTGCCACGACCATGTTGGTTTCGATGGCCCCGAGTTGGAGAGTGACCATTTTCTGGCCGCTTCCATCGCGATGTGGTTGATGCGATATGTAACCCTAGAGGCCCCCTCTGACGGCATCAGCAACAACATTTTTCCTTTGGCTGTTAGACAGGCCTACGATTGTGCAGGGAAGAACTTATATTATTTTCTCGACAAGTTGCAAGAAGCGACTTCTACTTTGGTGGGGAGATATTACATTGGCAGTTATGCCTCTGCCCTTTTCTTGAAGCTCTTTTGTATGTGTTCTCTCCTAGTTGCAAGAGATCTTATGGTCCTTTTTTGTGGGGAGCACGATTGTCTGGGTGTTCCATATCCAAGCTCATGGGCCTCCTCCTCGACTAGGAGTCACATTTTGTTTTTTGCCCTTATGGACTTGATTTTAATCGTACACCTAAGTTGTAATACTACTTGGTAAAGTTCGAGATTGAATCCACAGGGAGTTACTTGTTAGAATTCAAAATAGAAAAGGTAAGATTATCGTGCGCATAATGTGTAAATGACTACTTACACTACACTCAAAATACAAAATACTTACACTAAAATTTTGATTACAACAATTAAAAAATACTACTCTTGTGTTTGGGGATCCAACGTGGTTCCTATTGCATGAGATTATGTTAGCTCGGTACTCGTAACATGAGCATATAGTAATACAATACCAAACTGAAATAGAAACCACCCATTATTAAAGGGAGGTATAAATATTGAAGGATAGATAAAACATCGGAATTCCATTGCTCAACAATATTATAAATGTCTTCATCCTTTATTAAAGAGTATAAAAGGACTATTCATTTTGCATTGCTATAGACAAGCAAGAAGGGTAAGCCAATTTCATTACAATACTACGTAAATACAAAACAAAACACAAAGAATTCTTCTCCGAGGAATAGTTGAAACAACTTCACTCTTATTATCTACTAAAGCAAAAAAGTGAGAGAGGTTCAACCCTTCAAGTAGAAAGGAAGTAAAAGAAATGTAGAAGAAGAGAGTTTTTGGCTTGGAGTGTTTACAATAGGGTATTTTTCTCTAGGAATTTTGCTCTTCAAAAGGTGGAAGATCTCCCTTGAAAATGACCCCGAACATGCCTATTTATAAAGTGTCAAGGCCTAATTAAGGCAACAGACATCCACAAGGACCAATTAGGAACTTTATTGCATCAACGGACCAGTGGGAGAGGAGATTGAAGTTGAGGCAGTTAAAACCTCCATCCGGACGCCACCACCCCCTTCTAGACGGTACAAATACTCTAGAATTTTTCCTTGCAGCCTCCTTTGTTGATTTGTAGTGACTTGCCATGTGATGCCCTTAAAATCGGGGGTCTTTTGTTAAGCGTTGACTATCCGTCAACCCACAGAAATACCCGTGATTATCGACCAATCCGACATCATGTCAATAGAATCTCTTTAATCGGGATCGTTACCCACACGTATAACCCCCGTACATTATACCATTTGACCCAGCCAGGGTCCGATATACCACAATTTATCCTTATTTTATGTCCATTTATATCCTTGGAACCAAAGAACTCAAAGCCCAAAAAAAAGTATGGCACAACAGTTTTAAAATTTCAGATTTTTGGAGAACCTATCGGTAGGACCGACCGGTAGGTTGTGCCCACTAGAAAAGTCCTATCGGTAGGTCTTACCTGAAACCAAATTCTGCCTGTACGAGATCCTATCGGTAGGTGTTTCCCATTGGACCATGTTCTACTGGTAGGTCCTGCCTAGGTTTGCCTATTTCACCTGTTTTCAATTTTCAATTCATTTCAAACCTACCCAAACTCATATAACATATATTTGTACATCAAATACAATTAAAACAAGTTCTATTACAATCATTTTCAAAAGATTACTAGTCCAAACATGATTTCTTACAATGTTTTACAAAAATATAGATCAAAGTCTCTTCATTCTCGAGGCCCCGAATAAGATCTGTCCACCGTGTGTATCCCCCACCTGAAATATTTTTTTGTATAGGGTGAGCTACGCTCAATAGAGTATCTCCTACAGAGGCTACTCCTCAACCTAAGTGCATATAAAATGTGCACATGCAACAATCAACAACCATTATCCATTCCAATTAAGAATATACAATTCTATGTTGGAATGCTACTATGTCATGCCATTAAATGGGATGAGACTCATCCAACATATCGATTCAACCAACAGATCTCCATAGATCATAGGGAGAAGGTAGAAATTTTTATTTTTCTTTTCTCTATTTTCTCTCTTTCTTTTCTAACGTGTGCCAACCGATAGAAATAAGATATTTCTCTCATATTTATAGATTTCTCTCCTATTTATACTCTTTAATTGCGCGGTCCACCTCGCCCCGCACGTTCCCCATTTTCAAGTCCGTTTTTGTCCTGAAACGACTTAATTTCGTCTTGGTTTAAGTTTAAATTATTTTTATTTAAAATTTCTCTCAATTATAAGGAAATTTTATTTTTGGGGATGATTGTGAGGTCACCTGGCACCTAGTTGTCCTATAAAACGTAAAAAATTTGACTATCTCAGAGTTCGATTAAAATTGATTGGACAACTCGATTTCGTGAGACGAATCCAACGATGAAGTCCGTTGTGTCATTCAAGCTCTATAGAAATACGTATATTAATTCCACATTATAGTGACAAATTATCATTTTGCCATTTTTCAGAAAAAGTTTAAATTTACTTGAGTTTCACATTCTTCTCCCCTTAAAAGAATTTCGTCCCCGAAATTTACACACACATGCACATTCAACCACATGCATATGTGACAAGTATAACATACTCATAATTACAAAAAATATACCTCCATCCTCGAATAAGAAAGGATAACTGGTATGGATAGTGTTCTCGCGCTCCCATGTCGTCACCTCCACTCTTCGGTGTTGCCACAACACCTTCAGTAGCCTCACGATCTTGCCTCATAAAATTTGATCCCGGCTATCCATGATGCGCACTGGTCCCTCCTCGAAGGTCCCATCTGCATTAACAACAATCTCGCCCCAATCCACCACATGAGTCAGATCTAGGGTGTATTTTCGAAGCATGGAGACATGGAACACCAAGTGAACACCTGATAGATTTGGCGGTAATGCCAACCGATAAGCATTTGTACCAACCCTCTCAAGTACTTTGAAGGGCCTTATATATCTTGGTGACAACTTTTCCCGCTTACTGAACCTGACCACTCCTCTCATAGGCATCACCTTCAAGAAGACATGATATCCTATTTCAAACTCTAGAGGTCGCCGCTGTCTGTCAGCGTAACTCTTTTGTCGGCTCTGAACTGTGAGAAGACGCTTTCGTATTAAGTTCATCTGCTCTGAGGTGTCTTTAACCAATTCTGGACCCGTAGAGGGTCTCTCTCCTACCTCCATCCAACAAATCAAAGAACGACAAGCCCTCCCATAAAGTGCCTCATAGGGTTTCATCTGTATGCTCGCCTGATAACTATTGTTGTAGGCGAACTCCACTAAGGGTAGGTGCTCTTTCTAGCTACCCTTGAGATCTAGGACGCATGCCCGTAGCATGTTCTTTAGAG